GCATCCTTCAACAGCTACCAGCAAATGTGGGAAGCTTTTTGGTATGGCCATATTTCTCATGGCTTTGGGGAGAGCTTTTGGAAGTATGAAATGGTAGATGTGGGCTTTTTGAGTTTCTTGCTCCACGTTCACTGCAGTGAGGGGAGGTTCTGTTTCCTTGCTTTCGATCTGAAGTATTGTCCCTAGTGACGTGATTGCTCCAGTGTCTTTGGCTTGAAGAGTGGTGGGAGGGAGCTTAAACCACATAGTTAAAAAATCTTCCCTATCAGGAGTGGAAAGAAAATTGTGTGTCATCCCCTCCTCCACCTCCCCACAGCCTGCTGACTTTGCTGACTGAGGAGGGAACTCAACCAAGATGAATTGCCTAAAAGGCACAGGAGGTCAATGTCAAAGTCAGGTATCAAGCCCAGATTAGTCCAAGGTCCTTAAGCCAGTCTCATCCACCTCACATGTGTTAAACTACCAGCTTAGTTTCTCTGCTTCTGTGACTAAGTTTATTGTTTCTTCAAGTCTCATTGTCCTGACAGCACCACTTACTTGAGCACGTATACAGCCCTGACCTGTTCAGTTACCTTCTCTGATTGTAGCTACTGTTTGTGAACATGGTTTAGTATGCCTCATATTTTTAATCTCCTGCACAAGGATAGTTTCCATTCCTAAAACCATACTAACAACCTTGGGGTGTTCGAAAACCTTCTGTTTTCCAAAGCCTCCAGAGTCTGCGCAGTCCCTGAAAGTCTCTGATTTAACTAGGGACACACATCTCTACTCCACCTCCAAATGAGTTTACTTTACACTCTGTGCCAAAATGGCCTTTTGAAGCTATTCCTAGCTGAAATGCAGTAGCTCATCTAGGCTTCTTTTTATGATACTCTGGAAGACATGTCCTGCTGCTACCTGTTCTGTCTGCTTTGATGTCTCTGTGCTATGCCTGCAGTATGCTTTCTGCTGTTGTAGCTTTCAAACAAAAGGGTTAGCGGTTAAATAGAAGGTATAAAAATAAAGGAGCTTTCTCATAGCTGAAAGTGATCTCCAGGACCTTGCAGGCTGTCTTGTTTGCTTTCCTCAGCATGACCATTCATTCCACAGTCAGCTGCAGTGCAGTACATAACAGTAACCCAACTCCGGGTCTCAGGGAATGTGTGTTCCCAGGGGCCATATAATGGTTTCAGCTCTGAGGCTGAAAGGTGATGTGCAAAGCAGCTGTGATTAACGTAGTACTCTCTGTGGCTGATACTCCAGTGCAGATGGAGGATCTCTCTTCTGTAGCAACCTTACAAATGTATGGTTTTGCCTCTTTAAATACTTGCTTTTATAATCACATTACCTTATTTTCTTCTGCCTGTCTCTGACACAAGCTCTTTTCACTCCTGCCTTTTGTATTAGTTTACGAAGATCAATTTCTCCATGGAACACAAAGGATAGGAAGACAAACAGGCACAAAGGTACAACATGACTTGCCTCAGTCACTCATTAGATCGAGGATGGAGGAAGAAGCAGTATCCAAGTCTCCCGAGTGTCTCACAAATGTGGCACTGCCCCCCAGAATCAAGAGTAATGGTCCAGTGGGCTGTTTTGCTGTAGCACAGCATCATGTGCTTGGGTTGTGTCTACTCGCTAAAGAGAGCCTTTATATTACAGTAAGCATAGTCCTTATTTATTAGTGTAGTTGTAGATGTTAGGGTTCTTCCATTTCACTGGAAGTCTGTTTAGCAAGCTAAGATATCTTTACCAGTAAGCTTTGCCAAGTTTTTATCCTGAATTTTTCTTTTCGTAGCATTCTCTGTTCATTATACAGAATAAGCCCTAGGGAAGGGAGCAGGGAGTGTGGCAGGAAGGAAGAGACTGGGGCAGGAGCACACTTGCAAATGCAATAGCACCCACAAGATGTGGGGCCGAGAGGGAGGCAAGCAGAATTGCAAAGCAGGAGCAGAGGGAAACAGCAGGGGCCAGAAGCTGTTGTCCCCCTTGAAGTCAGTAGCAGAACTTTTCAAGGCCTTAGTGGAGGCAGAATTCAGTCAGAGAAAGCTGTGCAGACTGCTCCCAGTTTCTCTGGAACAAGCGGCAGAGTCAGTCCAGTCATGGTGTATTGGTCAGGGCTGGGGTCTTAGAGCAGGAGCTGCCTGGGATCCCAGGGTAGTAGACTGTGATGCTGCCAAGGCTGTCTTGGGTCAGTCACAATACTAAGTGGAAATACTTACGTGGCTCAGCCTTGCAAAGGGCATCCTCTCTCCATCTTATGGTAAAGCACCCCTTGCTTTGGTGGGTGGGAAGTGTCCTTTGGCAGTGTTCCTGATAGTGTGGAGGCACAGACTGTGCTTTCCTCTAGGATACAAGAAGAAAGTTTGAGAACTGTTGTCACAGACACTTTTCCCCAGCTTGATCCATTGCCATTTGCCAGCATCTTTCAATCAGTGCAGCAGTGTTCCTGTCTTAGTCAGTGTGAGTCGATATTTATAGCAAGCTTTTATGAAGCACAGTATCAAATGCCTGACTGAAATTCAGAGGCACTGCCCTACTGTGTTCACTAATTTTGTATCTCTGTCAGAGAAGCTGTAGCCTTTATAATCCTGTTAGGTGAAATCTTGATCCTATTAAAGTCAGTAGTGAAACTCCCTTTGACTCTTCTGAGGCCAGGACTTCCCTCAGGACTGACCCACAATCATTCTGGATAGTGCTGGAACGAGCCAGGGTGTTGCTCACTTGAAACCTCACACTGAGGTACAGCCGAATATCGTCCTGAATGTGTCAGGCCAGGCCCACAGCCAGGGTACTTTGTTGTCGCCCCTACTAACTGATCGCACTGAAAGCATGGTAGTTTACCCGACTTTCAGTTATTACTGGTGCTGTTCTTTTACTGCCAAGGGTAGCAAAGTTAGATTAGCAGTAAAGTAATTACAGGGGTATATGTCTTTCAAGAAAACCAAGTTTTGCAGCAGAGTAGAAATGCATTGGTACATGGGCTCATCGTTAAGATGAGCATGATTTTCACTAATACAATACTTCCACCAATTACTGTGTTCCCTGACTGCTTGCCCAAATACACTACAAAATGTATTGTCTGTAGTGGCTTCTTTGTACAAATTCCAATTACTTTACTTGCTTTATAGGCTTAGTGTATTTTAAGGGTGTTTCATGTCTGTAGTCTCAGTCTTTCTATATTTACCTTTTCAGATTTTTTTTTTAGTTGGAGTATTCTGGCTTTACCTTACAGGTGGGGCTTTCAAAAGCTCCAGACTCTTTTCAGCTGTCATACTGTCATCAATGGTAAAGCAAGCATTGGTTTCAATGGAAGTAGAGTTCAGCTGGATTTGAGAAAACAGCTTTCCCTGCTCTTCAGCTGTGATAGTAAGGTCTTTTTGCATACGGAGCTATGGCTCTCTTGGAGTGTTTTTTTTGTGATCTCTGACGTCTGCAAAAGGTACCTAAAAGAAGCATGCCTGTCATCAGCAGGTTGAAGTCTGCTATGTAGAGCTCCACATCCTCCCTGTAAATCTGTTAAGGATCTGCAGATTCAAAGAGACAGAAACCACTCATGTGTACGTGCATTCCAGGAAAAAATGTATGCTGCGGACATAAGTGCGTTTCCCTGCTAGGATGAGCATTTTGAATCAACATATGCAGTTCCAACGTTCTCTAGCAGTAACTTAACATTAAACGTCTGGTTAGCATTTCTGAAGAGACAGTTTGACAACCTGCTATGCTCTGCTAATAAGAAGACACCGCTGTTTAAGTTAAATACATATTTGATCCTAAATCTCATGGAGCCACGACTTTAATACCTATTTGTTCCT